CCAGTTCCTTTCCCAAAACTAGCCATTTTTTTGGTACGTCCTTCCTGAAATCTAAACTTCGATTACAGGTTGCCTCTCCCCGGGCCTGGCCTCTTCCCAGACTGCCCTGCAGCTGAAGCCCAGAGGGAAAGGGAGGAGGTGGGCTCTATGGTAACCCTGAGAAGAGAATGCCCTCTCTCCTCATCTGCATACAGACGGGCTCATTTGCATACAGACAGGCCTCATCTGCATATGCTCAGTGGGACTCTGAGAGCACATTCCAGAGTGTCCTGCCTGGGTCCTCCCACCCCAGTCCTGCCATCTCTGTCCAGGGAGGGGCCCTACCCCGCCCCTTCTGCCCCTGTCTGGGTCTGGGTCATTCTGTTTCCAAAAGGCAGCCCACCCTCTGGGGCCCTCTCCTGCTTGCTGTCGACCCTGTCCCGCTTTTCTTTACGTCGCTCGCTCGGAAGAATCCTTTCTACCCACCTCCTCCTGCCTGCCCTGCTCCCCTACCCAGGAGCCTACCCTCCAAGCCAGAGGCCAGGAGAGGAGGCAGAGGGCTGGCCACGGTGGCTGGCTGACTCTCCCAGCTCAGGCCCCCCAACACCGTGGTAAGGGGACCATGAAGACTGATGCTCAGGTTGTGGGGTACAAACAAAAGCGGGGGGAGGGGTGGGCAGACCTGGGAAGCTTCCTCCCTACTGATGACCTCAAGCCAGATCCTGCCTCCAGTCACCCCACCTCCCAAGGGCCACAGTGGGTCCTCACAAGGCTAGGAGGTGGGAGGGCCCTGAAATGAGGGCTGGAACCTCAGAAGCACTGATGAATGCCCAGGTGTGGTGAGATGGCTCAGCCCCATTGATACGGCAGACCGTGATGCAAAGGAAACTGCCTCCTCCTCCGTCTCAGTCAGCCCTCTGAGTCACGGTTCTGGGGCTCCTGGACGTGCAGGTCAGGGGAACCCTGGGATTCCTCTCCCAGTGGGTCCCCACCATGCAGAGGACCCTGGACATAGCCCTTCTCCTCTCTGGCCTCAGTTTCCTCTATAAAATGAGGAACTGGGCTAGACCAGGTGGCTCATGACGTGATCCTTCCTCCTGGAAATAGTGCCCAGGCGCCTGGCCAGCATTCTGCATGCAATTTTAGAATTTGCAAGCATTCCCTGAGGTCCAGATTGACCTCGGGCTAGGAGGCCTGGTCTAGAACTGAAAAGGCTGAAGTCAGTGTTTAAAAGGAAGGGAGGAATTTATACATATGTGCTTGGTTGACTATGGAGGAACCCAGGAAGGACGTAGGTACCAGCTGTTGCCTCTTGGGAGGAGGTGGGTGGCTGGGGGCAGGGGTAGGAGGATGTAACTTCCTTTTTGTACCGTTAGAATTGTGTCATGTGTATTATCTTATGCGTTTTCATTCAGAAAATTTCTAGGATTCAAAGTGTAGTTCTGTGGAGAGATTACGGAAGGGAGGAAGGACTTTCTCGAGGGTGATGGGGAACTTAAATGGTGCCAGTAGTCTGGACTCTGCTAACATCCCCCAGCAAGGCTCTCTAGAGATGAGGAGAGGCCTATCTTTTGGGGGAGCATGTTGGATACAGATGTGTTACGGAGAAAATGGGATCAGGAGCACAGTCCTAGTTTTTTGCTATGGCTTTCCTGCCCTCTCAAGTTCCCCCTCAGGCCTTGCTATTGTTGGGAAGTCCTACCTGCTGTCTAATCTGAATCCTCTTAATAGTCATATTCATTCTCTTATGTTTCCACTGAGGGTGGACAGAGAAGCAGCAGGAACGGATGACTCTTTGGGGCAGGGGTGCTTCATCTATGTGGTCTGTTCAAACCCAGGGGGACATTTCTGAGAGTCTTTTAGTGGAGGAGACAGAAGGCCACTTAGTGACCTCCTACACAGGCACTGTGGGGGAGTGTGACCACCCTCTCCCATTCTTTTGGTCCCTCGCATGGCATCTAGGTACTTCCTTGGCTGGAAGCATTAGGGCATGACTTAGACTTGGGACTGACCAGATTATGGACGGTGTTCTCAGGAACTTGGGGTGGCTGAGGGTGGTGGAAGGGGCCAGGATGTTCACCCGTGGCTCCACCCCCTACCAGGTAGGAGTTCTGGTATTAGAGGCTCCCCTGCTTCTGTTGCAAGATTGGCTTCTGTATCACGGATCTCTGTCGAAGGAAGTCCCAGTATCGCCCCCTCTCTTTCAGCCCTTCCCCTTCCAACCCTGTACAGGTATATCCACCACCACCACTATTAATGTAATTCAATATTCAAGAGTCTTTATTGAAGACTTGAGATGGGACTTCCATCTTAGAGAATGTGGGAATCCTAGCTCAAATGATACAGGATAAACTGGGATGGGCCAAGATGGACAGGTTGAAAATATGAGAGTCATGGGTCAAAGTCCTATCCCAGACGGCTCCAGGTACAATGGGCTGCCTGGGCTGGAAGCTGGGTCCTTCCCACTTTGATTCTGCTCAAAGCTTCTTGAAGGAGCTGGCTCGACTTCGACTTGCTAGAGCCTAGCCTCAACTTTTGGACAATTGGGAAGGCTTCTCAGAGGGAATCCAAGTGGGTGAAGTAAGTTTTCTTTTTGGTCTGAAAAGAAAAATTATCAAGTGTAACGAAAAAGACTGTTTTTTTTGAGTTGGAGTCTCATTCTGTCGCCTAGGCTGGAGTGGATCTCAGCTCACTGTAACCTCCGCCTCCCAGGTTCAAGCAATTCTCGTACCTCAGCCTCTGACTAGCTGGGATTACAGGCATGCGCCTCCATGCCCGGCTAAATTTTGTATTTTTAGTAGAGATGGGGTTTTGCCATGTTGGCCAGGCTGCTCTCGAACTCCTGACCTCCCAAAGTGTTGGGAATACAGGTGTGAGCCACCGCGTGCAGCGGAAAAATACTCTTTGGATGGAGACTTTAGGAGGAGGCAGAGATCAAACTTCCAGCAGTCTTGGAAGAAGCTCGCTTCCATCAGGCAAGGTGAGGAGCTAGGGACGGAGTCATCACAAAGGGATCCACCATGACAGCGGCTTGAGTCTAGGCACCTCTTCTAGGTGCTCTATCCAAGGCATGGGGGGGGGTGGGGGGAATACCTAGGGCAGAAACTCAGACCCCAAGCACAGGAGAGATTAGGCAGGGAGCCCAGCGGCTTGCTTCAGGAAGTCAGGGAGCAGGCTGCACGTGGGCTAAGGACCAGTCCGGAAGAATTTCGGTCACTTCCACAGCTCCCATGGCCTCTTCCCCAATCCTGTCTTCAACCTTCAAGATGTTTATCATCCCTTAGACTTGACCCCTACATCCAAGAACATGCCAAGAATTCCACCTGCCTATCGGGTCCTCTCTTCTCTCAGTCCCTCCATCGGTATTTCAGAAGTCAGCACAGGGGAGGAAGGGGACATATGCTTTGGGGTCTATGAAGCCCCACTTGAAGCCCAGCCCAACTTACCAGACCTGTGACTCTGGGAGAGTCTTAGCCTTCCTGAGGCTTCCATTCCTCCTTCATAAAGTGGGGACAGTATCACCCGGTTTTCAGGGCCGTTGGGAAGGTTGGCTGAGACAATGGCTATGAAAGGGCTTACACAACCAAATAGGTGCAAATCAGGGTCAGCTCCTTCCTTCCCGGGGCGGGGAAGCTATGTCCAGGAAAGGCAGATAAACCCCGTAGGGGCTGTACAGGAATCAGGCATCAGGCACAGCTTGTGGGAACAGCCTTCCTTTCCTGTCCCATCCAGGGTTGGGAGCCAGCAGCTTTGGAAACCCCAAAATTCACCTCCCTCGGCTTCTCCAAGCGTCTTAAGATCTGAGAAGAGAATTTCAGACAGAGGAGGTGATCTCAGCCATGGCCCTGCATGGCCCAGGCCCACTTAGACCAGTGTCTCCCTCCTTCTTCCTAGACTCTCCTCAGCCCCTCCCAGCTCACTGCCCTCCTCCCTGCCCCAGCTCCTCCTCCCCCTATCTTTGCCAGATCGCCAACCTGGACCTTGACAGTATGGAAGAGTGGGGATGAGAGGCCTGCCTTGTCCATCCTATCAGGAGCCCCTCAGATGTAAGGACTTTGTCTTCCCCAAACCTGGGCTCTGCCAGGCTTGTTGCCCTGACTCCCTCTGGCCCTCTTCCTGGCCCAGGCTGGCTCCCAGGTCTCGAGGTAGGCCAGCTGTTCCTCAGCCCCTCTTAAGTCTGCCAGGGTCTCTCCTCCCACACTCTCTTGCCCATTCCTTGCTCTAGATCCTCAGCCCACCTGGGAGCCCTGCTATCCCTTGAGTGGCTAGATTTGGGGGAACAACAGAAGAGACTGGTGTCTGTCAGCGCTTGGGAAGGGGTGGTGTATGCAGCTCCATGCCGGGCCCTCCCCTGGTGGGGGAGGAGGGGTACAGATGGCACAGGCTCCCGCCTGTTACACCTTCCAGCCCCAGACAGAACCAGGCTCTCCTAGCAAGGATACAGTAGCAGAGGGCTAGGAAGAAAGTGGGGTGGGGCAACAATGACATCATAAATTATCCCCGGCCCCTCCCTCCCAGCCCATCCTTCCTCAGTTGGGAAGGGCCTCCTTTTTCTCTCCACCTGCTCCTCATTCAGGATTCCCTCAGCAAAGCTGGCCTCTGCTTAGTGCCTCTTACAGATGCCCCTCGAGGTCAAGGTGACTATTCTCTGCCTTCAGCTCCAGAAGGAAGGGACTCTCGCTCTCCCAGGATCTCTCTGAAACCCTGTTGGAACGTTCCCCTCAAGGCAGGAGCTGGGAGACTGGCTTCCAAAGGTGGTACCCAGAGGACCTGGGAGGCTATCCCTATTCTATAGTTTCCAGCTCCTGACTCTTTCTGGGGTGCTGATGGGAGCATGGAGGGGAAATTTCAAAGCATTCCGTGGCATTTACGGCTCTTCTGTAAACAAAAGGTTTGGGTGGGGGCTCCAGAATCTTTAAGGGATGCTCAGACCTCTCACCAAGCGAGCCAGTTCTCAGTTTCCCTGTTCTAATAGCTAACCTTTATGAAGTAACTGAAGGTAGGTGGTATTTCTTCCTTACCTCTCAACTCAGCCAGGCCAAGCCAAGGGCCGAAGGGCTGGTGCTACAGCCGTGTAGATCTTGGTTAGATATTGAGAAGGACTTCCCAAGACGGGAATACGCAAGATCATGGAGTTTCCTGGCTGGAGAGAGGAAAAGTCTATCTTAGTTGCAGGAAACTGGATGGGAACCTCTTGAATTCTATCTCATTAATTCTTTCTTAGCCGCATTAAATAACATGTGGAGAGTGTCTGGCACAGAGCCTGACACATAGTAATCCTCCACTTTGGCTATTTTAAAAAATCATATGTTATTATGAATTTTTATTGGATGGGTATCAGGAGGAAGGGATAAATCCCTGGAGACCCATCTCCCACCCTCTAGGAACCCCACGGGAAAATCCAGTTAGGAGCTAGTGCGCTGAGTACAATATGGCAGCCAATTGTCATGGCAACAGCAGAAGAAGGAGGCTGGTTGGTTGTGGGGGCGGTGCTGGGAAGCCAGCTGGTGCCAGATGGACAAACCCAGCAGAAGGCATCCCCAGCCGGGTGAAGCTGATGCCCCGTGCCCAGGGCTCAACCTCCATATGCCAGCCTCAGCCTGGTCCTTCCCTCCAGGCCTAAAGGCCCCATTGCTGTCTGTGGGGGATGATGCCAAAACCATTCCTCCTCCTGACTCTTGCTTGTATAACAAGGAATGACTGCTTGGAGACAAAAGACTGTCCTGCTCAAGGTCCCCCTGACCCATGGGCTGACGGATCTAAATAGGTCTGAATCACGCTCACTCCTGACGATGCCGAGGAGCCATCATATCAGGGACTTGAGAGGTCCTGAGTGGCAGGATGTGGAGGCACCATTGTGTGCCCTCCGTGGAGATTCCACAGCGGCTTGTGCTGCCCGGAGGACGAGATGAGGGCTGCAGGGAGGGAGCAGGGCAAGTTGGGGCAACATGGCTCAGCTGCACCCTACCTGTCCTCTCCTCCTGGTACGCTGGGCGGCATGTGCACCTGGCCAGCAGATGAAAGCAGCTGCTGTCAGTGGAGTTCACTACCTAACCCTAAACAGCGGGTGCCTCTCGAAATTGCCTCAGCAAGATGCTTACCTCCTTGAGACCACGAAAGCCCCAGCCACAGGGCCCAGCCACATTTCTGAGTCAGGCTTCCGCTACGCACTGCACCCAGTGATCCACGGCCCTCGCAGCTCGGAAGTTGTCCTCGATTGCCCCCACCTACCTCCATGGCCCCTAGAACCGTGTCCCTCTGCACTTAGCATTTAACACTAAACATCTGCACACAGCCTTAGTAAACACTCACTCCCATCACCCCATGGCATCTTCAGCATAACCAAGGAAGGCAGTTAGGGTCCAAAGACATGAAGGGACTTGCCTAAGGTCACCCAGCGAATTAGTGGGGGAAGCCAGAATTTGTATCTTGACCAGCCTGTCCAATTCCAGAGTCAAAAACCAAAAATTCCTTCTTTAGCTGTCCTTCAGTGGACAAAGCTCCACTGAGTATCACACCCGGTAGCAAGCTGAGGTGGTGTCTGCCAGCATTCTACTGCGTCACACACCCCGAACCCAAACATTCACTAGAAGGACCAGCGCGGGCCGGGCACGGTGGCTCACACCTGCAGTAATCCCAGCACTTTGGGAGGCCCAGGCAGGCAGATCACTTGAGTTTGGGAATTTGAGACCAGCCTGGCCAACATGGGGAAACCCTGTTTCTACTAAATCTACAAAAATTAGCCGGTCATGGTGGCAGGTGCCTGTAGTCCCAGCTACTCTGGAGGCTGAGGCAGGAGAATCGCTTGAACCTGGGGGCGGAAGCTGTGGTGAGCCGAGATCATACCAGTGCACTGCAGCTTGGGTGACACACCAAGACTCCGTCTTCAAAAAGGGCCAATGTGCCCAACAAGGGCTTGGGGTGGAGGGAAGGTCTCTACATATTACTGATTAGCAGTAAGTGACACTGAGGCCAGGCCAGGAGAGGAGCCTCTCTGGGGGAAGGTAAGAGTGGGTGTGGCAGCCAGGGTGGCCTGGGACTCCCTTCTAGCTCTGGTGGATCTTGTTTTCCACCCTCCCAACACAGCCCTCCCTGGAGCGGGAGTGGGAGGGAGACCCCATGCTGGGAAGATGCGAGAAGCTCAAGCAGGCTCAGTCCCAAGAGCGTCAGGAGAGAGCACGTATGAGCTGGGAAGGAGACTGCAGAGGCCTGGAAGGATCAGGAGTTACGGCCTGGAAGACATAGGGAGAATGCAGGGGCAGGTCAGGTCCTGGGTGCGGGGGCCCTGGATGATGAGGAGGAACCCATCCTGGGACGGCTGGACCAGACCATGGACAGCCTCGCCGTGAGACCCCGGCCTGGCTTCAGCTTCTCTCTACTTCCTGCCCAGACCTGGTTAAAGCCTGAGGCTGCCTCTCAGCCCTCCCCTCTCCAGCCCCATTCTGCCCCACTCCCTGGGAGCTAAGCCCCCTCACCTGACAGGGCCACTTCCATGGCCACTCACAGAGGAGTCTTTGTGCACAAGCCGGGCCTGGGGGATGGGCGGTGGTGAGCACCCCCACTCACATTCCGCCCAGCGGCCAGCAGCAGCCTCTCCATCTTCCCACCTGCCTCTCCAGCCTCTCATCCCCTTTCTCGAGGAAGAATTCCTTCAGAACCTTGATCCTGGCTACCACCTCACCCCCAACTCCCTCCCTCAGGACTCCAGCCCTTTCTCTGCTGCTTTGCTCTGGCCCCCTCAGCCACACAGCCCTGACTACTGAACCTTTTTTTTTTTTTTTTTTTTCATAAGAGAACTCAGAGACTAGCTTGTTGCCCCACAAAGTCAGAGCAGTCTCCCTGTCCCCACCCCCAGCGGCCTCTTGCCTGCCCTGACCTCAGGGTGTCCATTGTGCTGGGGGACGCCAACCTCTGCTTCTCCACATCTCTCCCCAGAGAGCTCCCACAAGCCTGCTGTCTCCGCATGTTGGGTGCGGGGGGAAAGGAGGGCCTCTGAAGGGGGGTGGTAGAAAGATCTCTTCCTCAGGTGGCTTCCAGGTCTTTCAGACGTCCTTCATTTGTTTGGAACTAGCTGAGAGCCAGTTAAATGTCTGGCTGGGCTCAGAGGGCAGCCAGATGCAGGAGTCCCGTTCCCTCCCAGGAGAGGTTATGTGTTGGTCTCCAGCCACGCCCTCCCGCGGCTGTCAGCTAACTGCCGCGGCCTCCCTGGTATAGCACATAAGGCGCTTTACAGGGGACCTCCTGCCTCTGTTTCCCTTTTCCTCCCAGCACAGACTCCCTGCGATGGTCACGCTAGTCCCCAGACACCCCCTGCTCTTCCTTACCTCCCTGCCTTCTCGAATGCTGCGGACTGTCCACCACCCACCTCCCAGACTCTGTAGACTGCCAAACACCTGCTTATCTTGTGTTGCTTATATCTTGGCATCCTCCAGGAAGCCTTCCTGAGCTCCCTTCCCCATGCCCCCACATCACTTTGTGCAGGCCTTCAGGACAATGCTTTCCATACCGTCTTCTAATCAGTCGTGTGTCTGCCTCGCCCAGTAGACTGCCAGCTCCTCAAAGCAGCGTTGTAGTTGACGCTCCCCTTGAGCATAGCTCCTGGCACACAGGAGGCCCTCAGTGCCTGCCGAATGAATGGGCTGACATGGAGGCAGGGGTACCGGAGGGAAGGGTATGGATGAGAGAGGTCCTACACAGGAAGAAGTGATGGATTTTGATGTAACTGATTTGACTGTGGGGACAAGCCCAGGAAAATGTTCAGGAGTTGAACCTGAGGGCCTAGGAGTTTAATGAGGCTGCCGACAGAGGTAAGGCAGCAGAAGCACAATGCGGAGGGAGCATCTGAACCGCCCTCCTGGGTTTTGGTGGGAGGCTATATTTCGCAGCCACTACAGAAGCTACAAACACGGGTACTTTCTGGGCCCTCCTTGCAGCTAGAGCCTAGGCCTGTGATCCAGGCTTGACCAAGCGGAGGTGCCGTCCCAGTTCCTGATCTGGGGACAAATGGCAGGACCACAGGTGGTAGTTGGCAGTTAGGGGTGCAAATCTGGAGTTTAGGAGAGGTCAAGACTAAAGAAACGAGGGAGAGAGGCTGGGTGCAGTGGCTCATGCCTGTAATCCTAGCATTTTCGGAGGCCGAGGTGGGTGGATCACCTGAGCCTCCCAAAATGGGAGAACGGGTGAAACCCTGTTTCTACTAAAAATACAAAGACTAGCTGGGTGTGGCTGCACGCCTGCAATCCCAGCTACTCAGGAGGCTGAGGCAGAAGAATCGCTTGAACCTGGGAAGCGGAGGTTGCAGTGAGCTGAGATCGAGCCATTGCTGTATCTCACTCCAGCCTGGGTAAAAGAGGAAGTATCCGTTTCAAAAAAAAAAAGAAAAGAAAAGAAAGGAAGGAGAGAGAATTTCTAACTTCAAGTGATGGTTGAACTGATAAAAGTTAAGTGAGAAGAGTGAGAAGGAAGAGGAAAAAAGCACCACCAGCAAAATCTGGGCCCCACCTCTAGTTAAAGAAACTGGCACATCCAGAGGACTGACTGAATGGAACCAAGAACAGACAATCATGGATAGAACAGAAGAACCAAGGCCAAAGAAGACTGAGAAAACAGCGTAACATTTTCCACAGAGGTCAAGGAGGACTGGGCTTGGGAAGGGCCAGTGATCTTTGTTGAGGAGGCTGTGAGTGGCCTCTGAGAGGGTGCAGGTTTCCCAGAGGAAACCAGAGTGCTGCGCTGAGGAGAAGGTGGAGCATCACCTCATGTAGCAGTCACCGTTCACCGCCCCAGAGAGGCCCTCAAGCTGGTAGGTGATACTGCCTGCCTACATCTTACCCTCTCCCTCCTCCTGCTGATACTCCCCATTCTGATTCCTCCAGTACTTTTCACACTACCCACAGTCCTCTAAGTCCTCTGGGAACTAAGCCCAGTGCTGAGGCCTCTCTACCACCCCTGCTCCTGTGCTCGACCTTACAGCTCTTCCGCGGGCCGCCATTGGTCTCTCCCTCCCTCCTTCTCTCCCCATCCTCTCTTCCTAATTCCATTAGCAGGAAAATTCAACAATATTTCTCATCAGCCAGGAAGTCCTTCCTATGGCCTCAGGCTTTTCCATGTCCACCACCCAGGGCCGGCTCTCGGCGCACACCTGTCGGGGCAGCCATCTTACAGGCGCCAGTTACCTAAGATGGCGGCCTCCCTCACCCTCCGCTTCCGTTCCCACAGCCCTGCCTCCTACCCCTGCCTCTTTCTTTCTGAAGCCTGAGCCCAACAAGGTGGGGGGCCAGGCTGGGGAGCCAAGGCCGGAGGAAACAAGACAAAAAAGGACAGAAAAGCCGGCCCCTTGGCATCTCTCTTTGGCATCTGAGTCCAGCTCAGGGAGGGAGGGCAGAAAGGAAGAAAGAAAGTAGTGTAAGTTTTTATTTCTGTCCTCTTCCTGCCACCTCCCCCTGGTCCCTCCCCCCACACTTTGATGAAAACAAAATATCTCCCCTTTTCTCTCTTCTCCAGCCCCCCTCCCCTTTTTTTCCTGGCTTCTACCATGAGCCTCCTGGAATGCAAATGAACTGTATTATGCAAATATATGCAAATCAGGCTTAACGAGCGGAAGGAGGGGGCAGAATGCCTAATGAGTAATGGCGGAGGGTGCAGATGGAGGGTGGCAGGAATGGCCCCCTCCTCTTCTCTGTTCCCACAGCCTGGAGGTTTGCTGGAGGTAGCTGGGTGTCCCTCATGTCTGGGAAAGAGTAGAAGGTCAAGGCCCCTTTGCTTCAGCCCAGAAGGCCTGGGGTGTCCTTGGCTGTGGTAGGTGAGGGGCAGGAGAGCTTGGGAAGAGAGGGGGTTAAGTATAAGGGGCCGGTGCTCACTTGCATAACCTTGCCCAGAGACACTGCATGCACCAGCCTCCTTGCCTATGTGGCCTGCTGATAGCAGAACCCTCAGCTCCCAGTGCTGAAAAGAGGGTGATGCTTATGCATGCCATGGCTTGTGCATCAGAAAGGAGGATTCTCAAGGGAAGATTCCCAGCCAGACCAGGTTCTTCCTGGGGGTGGTGGTGAAAGCTGTCTCTCTTTGTACTTTGGGGGTTAGGGGGGCGGTTGCCATGGCAACAAAGCATGGAACACCCACCTCCCCAACATCCAGCCCCAGAGGACCTAGGAGTTTGGGGGGTATAATTGATTGACACCCCCTGATGCCCCCACCACCTGGCACTGCCAGCCGGAGATGGCAGCATCAAATCCTAGAGAAAATGGCCCCTTTGTTTCTAGGCTCACGGTGTTGGGGGAGCAGGCCTGGGCACACAGAAGGGCCTTTCCCAGGCCCCGTTCCAGTTTGCATGACTCCCGCTGGCCTCTGGAGACTCCTCGTGGCCATCTACTGGCTTCTGTGCCCTGGCAGATGGTTGCCCCCTTGCCTTTTCTCCCATGGGCTTGCCAGCTACTGCTAGGTATGCCTTCCCTGTCCCTGAGGCCTTCCCTCCAAACCACCTCAGACAGAGGTAGCAGCCTGTTCCACCTTTTCCTGGCTTTTTTGAACACCTCGAAAGCCCAGTCATGCATCTTGTCCTCTTTTGTATGGAGGCAACCTGCAAACTCCCCCAACCAGCACCAGGCCCGGTCCACCCAACCCAGGCAGAGAGGCTCCTAAAGGAGGTAAGAGACAGATAGAAAGGGCCAGGCTGAAATTCAGGAGCCTGGATCTTGGCATTTCCGATAACCAGCTGGGCAACCTGATCACACCCCTTCTACTCCCGTGGGATCTGTAAAATGAGGAATATAGGGCTGATGATACCTAAAGCTCATTTCAGCTCTACGTGATCTATACCCTCCATATCTTACATGACTGAAGTTAAATCATTATTGAACTATAACCTTCATTCTTTCTACTACTGGATCAGCCGTTCTCATTCAGACTCCCCAACATGAAGACAAACCCAGTTGCACCGAGACAGGAATGCCAATTTCCCTCAGCCTTTCCTCTCCCTGAGACTCCACAGCTGACTGCAAACAACCCCCACAGATTCAAAAATGTAGAGTCTTTGATAGCTGACTGTGCAGACAGGAGGGTCCCTCCTAACAATCTCGAAGTGGGTCAGCACAGCCATCTCACTCACCGCCCGGGAGCTGTCCGTGGTGCTGGATGTGGCTCTGTCATCCACACAGCGGAAGGAGGGCGGTAGGGTGGTGGAGCACCCACCCGCCCTGGGTGAGAAGCTAAAGGGAAGAGAAGCAGCAGAAACATTTGGAAACAGTAAGAAAAGGCAAATATGATGCCTGAAGAAAGTTTCTCCTCTGTGAAGACCTCCAAATCGCCAATATTACTTTGAGGAAGGAAAAGCACAAAAGTCATTGATAAGTGCCCCAGATTAGCTCAGTCTTCCTCTAGATCCCATTTGGAAATCCACTGGGAGATGGAATCATAGTCCCTCCCCTTGGGGAAGAGCTCAGATTGAGGTGAGATAAAGTACAGACCTTTAAATTCCATTCTAAACTCTAAGGCTCCTACAAGGAATTTAGTAATAATAATTAAAAAGATATACAACCTGCCTGATAGTATTATAGATATCAGGAGTTTGGGAGGAAAGGCGGGCAAAGAAGGGGCGTGTTTGTGTGTGCACATGTACACATACACAGGCATGTGGGTACATGAATGCATGTGTGTGTATGTGATTCCCAGGTGGAGAGGTGAACCTGTATCAGTGGTTCATAACCCCAGGTGCACATTAAATAATAATGATGCCTAGGCATCATTTCCACATACTCTGATTTCATTGGTCTGGAGCTGGGCCCAAACATCAACATTTTTTTTAAAAGTTCCCCAGGTGGTGCTCACTTCGGCAGCACATATACTAAAACTGGAATGATACAGAGAACATTAGCATGGCCCCTGTGCAAGGATGACGTGCAAATTCATGAAGCGTTCCATATTTATAAAAAAAATTTTTAAAAAAGAAAAATAAATAAAAATAAAACTTCCCCAGGTGATTCAGTGCATAACCGAGCTGAGAATCACTGACCTAGAAGAAAGTGGGTCAGAAAAGGTGCACGGGCGAAGCCTCATTAGCTGGAGGAAGAGGCAGAGCAAAGATTCCTAAAGAAGAAGGGAATGAATAGGGAGGAGAAAGACAAGCATGTAACTCCTCTCTCCTGGGAGCTCCTGGATGGCCCCAAGGCCTGGCCTGGAGATGAGACTGGCTCAGGTGTTGCCTTGTCTCCTCTGTGCTGTAAAAGCTCAAACCACCCCAAGGCAATGAGATGAACTGTCTCCCCACTGCAGTCCCTTGCGCAGGGAATGGGTGCAATGACCCTAAGGGGGTGCTGCTGCTCCCCTTTACCCAGAGGGTCCCCAGGGAGGCGGCTGTGGAAGGTAAACAGCAACAATGGTCCCTTTCAGTGTCCAGACTCCAACCCTTCAGTCCAATTAGCAGACACAGCAAACAGCAATTCAGCAGCCTTCAGCCGCTGTCATAACAAACTCAGAGCTGCCTTAATGGGGGGATTAGGGCAGGAGGAGGAGGGGGTGTCACTTAGGCCCTGGGAGAGCCTGAGTGGCAAGGAGGGGGTTCCCCCTTTTCCCTTATCTCTCCTATCTAAATATGCACCCACCCACCCTTCCTTCCATAACTCTGCTCCTCTTTCTCCTCAAAGCCCCGAGAATGTTTTTATAGTTTTGTCTGCCCCTTCCCTCCAGTGATTTTAAAGTGTTAACCTAAACTCATGATCTCCTAGGGAAGTTGGCACACCCTGTCTCTGGATGAGGCACTGTTATGTCCCCCCCACCCCAGATCTCTGAGGTCTCAATAACAAAGGAAGGGAGGTGAGAAGGTCAATCTGTTCCCAGAACATTCAAGTGAAGGAAGGTGAAAAAATAAATAACCAGACCCCAATTTTCAAACCTTGAATGTGCAGACTTAAAAAAGGACTTTCAGACATAGGGGCCCATGCATCTCAGGTGGGTTGCCAACCTTAGGAGTCGCATTGGGGACTGGGGAGATGCTGGTTTGTGAGGCAAAGGGAGAGAAGACATCCTTTCTTAAAGTCACTCAATTATGGAGACAAGTCTGCATTCTGACAGGCAGGTCTCTATAGGATTTGTTAATTACAGCCACTACCTCACTTGTCCTTTTATTTAAAAAACTGTGTTTTTAGTTACTTAGAATCCAGGAGATTAATGGCATAAGCTTGAAATTATCATTTACACATGCTGTATTTATCTATGTAAGTCAGTTTACCAATCCTAAGTGCTCTTACCAATAAGTCTTAATACCGTTAAGGAGAAAGAAAACAATAGCAATTCTGCCACGTGGACTCCAGCCTCTTCCCTTTATCAGGCTTCCCAAGGACTGTGCCTCCTCTCCCAAGGCTTCAGACACTCCCTACCTAGGTCCCCAGGAGTCCTTCCTTGAGTCCCAAAGCTGGAAAAGGAGGAAATTCCTCAAGTTAAATATGGTGAGATCATCGGCCCGGAACACGCCAGAGAGGTGCCCTTTTTACATTCTGAAACCAATCGCATGCTCTCAGTCTTTCCAAACTACAGCCTTTAACCTTTCTGCAATCTAAGAATTACCCTTTACCCATGAGTGTCATAACATAGTATATGATCTTTTATATAGAATTCTTCATTTTCCGCACACAATAACCCTAAGGGTTTCTTATCTTCATTATACACATATCTGAAATGAGGCTGGGAGATTTGTGTCACTCATAAATGGAGACACCCAAACCTTGGACCTTGGTTTGGTCAGATTTGCTCTTTCTGTTTCTGTCTCTCCCACGGCCTCCTGACTAGGATGTTTCCTATGACTGTAAGTACTTATCAACAAAACCTTTCCATGCCTGGAATTGGGTGGGAGGAGAATTTGTCCCAGAGTGAGGGTGTGGCTGGTAATGCAAAACTGGGGTCAAATATTTGGGAGAAAATTGCCTTTGGCCTCCTGGACCTAGAATTCAATAGAAGGGTATTAAAATCGGGGGCTGAGGAGAGAAATGAGTAAAGAAACCAGCTTAGAATTTGGTTTCCAGTAAAAATAGTAGATGTAACAATATCTGAAGCATAGAACTGAAAATTCTTAGACACAGGCAGAGGTGTGATTATACAAGAGAGGAAATTTCCTAACTGGTAACTGGGGAGGCCTTCCTGATCCCCTTTTAACACAGCCTCCCTGCACCCCAATCCCACAGTTCTCCTGTGGGGTTCAATTGGAGGAGATTCGATCTGGCACGGAGGGGGTGGGGAGAACTCAGCAGTGTCACTGTGATGTCTGCATTTGGTAACCTCCTTCCATATCCAGGAGTGTCTGTTCCTAGAGTGGATTTATATCTATACATAGCCAGGTGTCCCTGATGTCACGACCGAGCTTCCCACCCACCATGGAGGGACACATATCCAACCTCACACCAGGTCACACACCACTCAGTTTCTCACCCTCATAAGCAGACACACACAGCTCACAAACACAGTCACCCGTCACTCTCCTGACAACCCCACCCACACACCCACATGCACACACCATATGCTCACATAAGCCAGACGCAAACCCTCACCCCCACATCCCTCCTGGGCTCTATTCCCCCTTTCCACTGAGGTGGTTTTGTAGGGTGTCAATTCTCAGCCCCCCCAGTTCCCTCTGTTCTCCTTTGGGTATCCTGAGGTAAGTCAAATGCGCTAATCAGAGACAACAATAATAATGTAAACCCATTGTGGTTACTGATACAGCTTCTAAGTCTCATGTGAATGAGCCTCAGTGGATCCCAAATACACATTTCCGGCAAGGTACGCGAAAGGTTTTTGTTTTGTTTTGTTTCGTTTTTTTAAAAAAGGAATCCTGGGCCGGGCGCGGTGGCTCAAGCCTGTAATCCCAGCACTTTGGGAGGCCGAGGCGGGTGGATCACGAGGTCAAGAGATCGAGACCATCCTGGTCAACATGGTGAAACGCCGTCTCTACTAAAAATACAAAAAATTAGCTGGGCATGGTGGTGCGTGCCTGTAATCCCAGCTACTCAGGAGGCTGAGGCAGGAGAATTGCCTGAACCCAGGAGGCGGAGGTTGCGGTGAGCCGAGATCGTGCCATTGCACTCCAGCCTGGGTAACAAGAGCGAAACTCCGTCCCAAAAAAATAAAAATAAAAAAGGAATCCTATCTTTCTTGGTGCTGCTTCTCTCACCCCAGCCCCCAGCCCTGGCTCACAGGCAGGGCTTTTCTCTTGGTGTGCCTTCCCTTCACTGTGCCCCATGCACTCCCTTCTCAGCTCAACCTCATCTTATCCTTCCTGCTTCACTCTCTCTCCAGCTGTTCCCACAAGCAAGTTCAGTAGAAAATGCACTGAGTTGGGTTAGGCCGGGCGGTAGCTTATGCCTATAATCCCAGCACTTTGGGAAGCCGAGGCGGGCGGATCACGAGGTCAAGATTGAGATCATCCTGGCCAACATGGCGAAACCCTGTCTTTACTAAAAAAAATACAAAAATTAGCTGGGTGTGGTGGCACACGCTTGTAGTCCCAGCTACTCGGGAGGCTGAGGCAGGAGAATCACTTGAACCTGGGAGATGGAGGTCGCAGTGAGCTGAGAGGGTCACTGCAGTCCAGCCTGGCAACAGAGCGAGACTTTGTCTCAAAAAAGAAAAAAGAGAAAGCACTGGGTTGGAAACCACTGAGTGACATTAGCAACTCATTTGAGTCTATGGTTCCTCATCTGTAAAATGGCGTTAATAACAACTATCTCACAGTGTTGAAAGAGCAAAGAAAGGGATGTAGGCCCAGTGCCCAGGAAGTAGTGTTAGGAATTATTAGTCCTCCCCTAAAACCTGCTCTCTTGGCCGGGCGCGGTGGCTCAAGCCTGTAATCCCAGCACTTTGGGAGGCCGAGGCGGGTGGATCACGAGGTCAAGAGATCGAGACCATCCTGGTCAACATGGTGAAACCCCATCTCTACTAAAAATACAAAAACATCAGCTGGGCATGGTGGTGCGTGCCTGTAATCCCAGCTACTCAGGAGGCTGAGGCAGGAGAATTGCCTGAACCCAGGAGGCGGAGGTTGCGGTGAGCCGAGATCGCGCCATTGCACTCCAGCCTGGGTAACAAGAGCGAAACTCCGTCTCAAAAA